ATCTCACCAGTCACTCATTCAGAGGCTTCCATTATATTCTTTTTATCTAGACCCAGAAAAATGAGTTTTTGAGGTTTCTAGTCATCCAACACACCCTCTTGTAAGATAAGCTCACATGTAGCACAGAGACGCACACAGGGTGACAGATTGGTTAATTTCGGCCTTTCTTTAGGTGTGTGAACACAAGTAAGTTTGCTTTTTTAATGCTTACTTTCCTTTTGAGTCGGAGGTTACAATGGTTGGTTGCTGTGTCATGCGGGCCTTGCCTGTGTAGGCTTTCACTTTTGGGACAGTGGGTCAGTCTGGCTTGAAGGAGGCAGTATTTACCTTGACTTTCTTAGAGACGCCCAGAAGACAGAGCGGAGGGGAGGAAATATCGGCGACCTGGAGAAATGAGCTCCTCCTCCCTTCCACTAAGGCCTAATGAGAGGCGTCCTGTCACTTCCTCAGGACACCAGGCTATTCCTGACAGAGACCACCGCTGATAAATGGCCACAGTTTAGCATGCTTCTTAAAGATCTTAAGAAAATAGTTGACAGATTTTAAAAATTTAATAAGGTCTAATTTACATACCTTTTCTGATTACATGAAATACGTGGCAGGTAAGAGACTGTTTGACTTTTAACACTCTGGACTCTTCTCTTTCATCAGGTTCATTCCTACATGAAAGTTTAGCCGAGCAATAAAAATATTCCAGGCAATGAAGTAGATCACACAAGGCCTACTAAGTGAACGTCACACTCCTCAGCTGGACGGCCAGGCTGTCTGCAATTAGGCCCCATCCTGCCACTTGTCACAGCCCAGCCACAGGTGGATGTGCTGATGACCTCTGAGGGTGCCCTGTACTTTTTCCCTCCAGGCTTTTGCTTACTCTGTTCGCCCTAGAAGGATCTCTCCCTACCTCGTTCCCCCTAGAAGGATCTCTCCCTACCTCGTTCCCCCTAGAAGGATCTCTCCCTACCTCTGTTCCCCATAGAAGGATCTCTCCCTACCTCTACTTTTGGAATCCCAACCCCTCATTAAGGCCCAATTCGAAATGCAGATCTTCTTGAACCTTCCCCGAACCAGATGTAATCTTGCTCCCTGTGAGTGCCGTCGGGCCTACGTGTAACCTCCTTTCACGCCTCTCACTATGACACGCTCAGCTTACTGTATGTAACCTGTGGCAGCCACCAAGCTCCGCCAGGTCAGGGACTTATTCTGCTTTTGTATTTCCCGTGTATCTAACACAGTGCCCCACACAAAGATCACTCAGTGAGTATTGAAAAAAATGGAAAAGTGCTATTTGCTAGACATAGCCAAGTGGAGAATTAGCGTTTTTAAATACGCATGACTATGACTAAGACCTTATGAAATTTTCCGAGATTCAAAACCCCAGTCTGAGAGTTGCCCATCATGCAACTCTACATGAGGCCCTGTGCAATCTGGGACTGGCTTTCATTATCTTTGAGGAAGTTTTCCAGCTTTTAGTACAGTGGGCAAAGACACAGAGTGGATTTAGAGAAAATCCACATCATGGGTTTGGAAAACAGATCAAAATCGTGACAAAGGAAGGAATTGTGAAGGAATTGGAAATCTTTGGCCCAGTAGAGAAGACCTAGGAAAGGCTGGGACTCAGGATAATGCAACATCTGGCAAGAAACTAGGAGAATATCTGAAGAATTTTCTTTATTAGACAGGAAGTTGGACAAAGTGACCTCTGAAGCTCCAATTTTCAGCAGAGTTCTTTGCCTATTATGATTGATAGAAAAGGAAATTCTTAATTCAGCTTTTTCATTCACTACTGAGAATATTACAGTTCAGAATTTCAAATTCAAATATTATGCTTCTACGTCTTCAACAAAGTCATAGGTAGAAAAAAGCGTTCTCTATCCTGTTGCTCAATATTCCTTGTTCATTCATGTTTCATAAATTCGTTAAACAAAATCCAGATGGGTGCAGGTACCATTTTCTGTGGGGAAATTGGAGCTATACAACTTCCTTTTTTTTTTTTTTTTTTTTTTTTTTTTTT